CAGTGTTTCCAATCTTTCATCTTTTCTACAGTTTTTCCAATCTTTCATCTATCTACAGATTTTTCCAATCTTTCATCTTTTCTCCAGTGTCTCCAATCTTTCATCTTTTCTACCGTGTTTCCAATCTTTCATCTTTTCTGCAGTGTTTCCAATCTTTCATCTTTTCTACACTGTTTCCAATCTTTCATCTTTTCTACAGTGTTTCCAATCTTTCATCTTTTCTCCAGTGTTTCCAATCTTTTATCTTTTCTACAGTGTTTCCAATCTTTCATCTTTTCTCCAGTGTTTCCAATCTTTCATCTTTGCTACAGTGTTTCCAATCTTTCATCTTTTCTACAGTGTTTCCAATCTTTCATCTTTTCTCCACTGTTTCCAATCTTTTATCTTTTCTACAGTGTTTCCAATCTTTCATCTTTCTACAGTGTTTCCAATCTTTCATCTTTTCTACAGTGTTTCCAATCTTTAATCTTTTCTACAGTGTTTCCAATCTTTCATCTTTTCTACAGTGTTTCCAATCTTTCACCTTTTCTACAGTGTTTCCAATCTTGAAAAATCAATTCATGGAATATAAGAGAAATCTCCGTCAACCCATCCCCCTCACCCCGCTATTGTATAAAAATACACTAATATTGGCGGGTTTAGGTGCTGGATAGATATTTCTTTTTAAATATGTTGTTCTGTGGAATTTTTTAATAAAAAGTTATACAAACATATCTAGAAATAGTCCGTTAACAATTGCTATATGATGAAACATCAAATCGAATCAAACTATGATTGAACAATACAGTGTCAAACTTGAAGATACAATGAGAACCATACACGGTTGAACTCGAAGACGACATTAAAACAATACTTAAGTGTATACGATGTTGTAACAAAACAAATTGGTTGAATATTAACTTCATAAGTCACTTATTAAATGAAATGGGTCTGTTTACACTGCTCGACTGCGATGTCCAAGATCATTTGACTATATAAAGTTATAACTTGAGTCTAAAAGTTGTCTTTTTATTCCATAGTTTTCTGGCTCTCAATTTGAAATCTTCATATGTTTTCAGGGGTTTATTCATAATCATATATATACAACCATAACATCCCTACCACTTTCAGCACCCCCCCCCCATCATCCTCTTCTCACATTAGGGGTGGATGTGTGTAATAAAAATTGTGTATAATGTTCTGTAAATAACTATATAACATGATTACCTTAATCATGGGATATATATACGGAGAAAGGGTAGAGTATAGAATGCTGATGGACAGTTTGTACAGGGGAATTGTCATAGAGAATAGAATATATAGAGAGGAATTAAAAGAATCTCTCGGTATGAATTTTTTCATTCCCTTTCAGCCTGAAAGGGAGTTCAAATTGTACAAATCATGTAAATGTTCACAAATTATATGCAGTAGAGTACATTAATACAGTATGTTCCCTAGACTATCCATTTCAATTTCGAATTTTTTAAAGCTGTTAAATAAACTTTATAATGAATTAGGTGAATAAAAAACATCATTTGATTTATAGTTATAACGGAAAATCATCGTTTGTAAAGTGAAAGGCATAGAGTCTATGTGAAATGATCATTGGTCAATTATGAAACCAGCCTATTTCATAATTTGGTTTTCTTTAAATATTAATTTTAGATTTTCTATAAAATGATGTTCCAGGGCCCAAAAGTTTATATACAGGGTGTCCCACGAAACATGACAGTATGCAGGACGACTTGAATGTCGTCTTGATTTTTGATATAATTTGCTGCGTTTATTTGTCAACCTAATTTTAGAAGTAAATTTCTAGAGATAATAATCACAAAATTTCCCTTGTCCTGCCATTTCCAAAATGTGGTCTGCCTTTTTTGTGCTTTCAATATTGCCCGAGATATGAAGAATTTCGTTCAGATTTCGACAATTTTGCTTTTATTTAACAAAATTGAAATCTGAACCAAACTCTTTATATCTCCGGTAATATTGAAAGCACAAAAAACGCAGACCACTTTTTGGAAATGCCAGGGCTAGGAGAATTATGTGATAATTGTTTCAAGAATCATACATGTTAAAGTAGATAGAAGACTAAATGTCACAAATAAATTCAAATACCAAAGACAACTTTCAAGTCGCCTTCCTATTGTCATGTTTCGTGGGACACCCTGTAACAGATAATTTTTAATTATTTGCATCAATAACACTTGCTTTAATATCGTCATCCTAATTCACAGTTTTCTTGTCTCACTGTACAGTTCACAAAAAATAAAATAGAATTACTTATAAGATGTAATAAACATAGATTATCAAGTATACATACTTGATAATCTAATTTGTAATAACATACTATTTATTTATTTATCATCATTTTTTCCTTAAAGATAACATTTCATTATGACAAGCTTTTTCAATATTATATTTTTGATTTGATTTTTTAAGTTAAAATCCTGAATTAGGTAAATGTATCAAGACTATATTTCTATTCTCTATGGAACAAACAATAAAGCAGGCTACACAGCTATAAATTACATATTTCTTCCATTTATTTCAAGAATAAAAGCAAATTGTCAAATGTTGGTGGAAGGCATGT